GAGCGACATTCGACTGGAAGTCATTCAAATTATCTTTAGAAGGAGAAGATTCCGTACGATGGCAGGTATTTATCGAAATCGGTGGACTGCATTATATCTAAACTTACATTAATATATGCAGATTGGCTGCATTCAGTAAAGAAAGCAGCTTTGCAACTGTTGTAAAATTCTTCAATATGATTGATTTATACATTTAGATCTAAAAGGAAGTAGAAAAAGCTTTCTCTGCCGAACATAGCCATTGATAAATGTATATTAAATCATCAATTAAATGTCTAGACAAAATTATGGCAACTCATCAAAACCCATCCAGTGTTTCAAAAGTCAACATGGCCAAAGAGTTTGGATGAAATTCGAAAACGCGTCAATAGTCAGTTACAAGTTCTTTGCGAGAATGATATAGATGTAATTATAATAATTTATTTATATTACAATTTTATATATATATATATAATGATTCATTAATCAAAAAATTATCACAATTATAATAATCAACGGTCATGTGTCATTAATAATAAATAAATTTTCATAATTTTGGTGTAAAAATGAAGAAATAGTATCAGAACTTTTGTACTTAATAATTTTCTTATTTTTAGCCAATAAATAGCCTTGACAATATTCTTTATCTTTTTCAATATGATGGGTCGATACCGATACGACTAAGTATCACACGAGGTATGATACCAGCTGCTATATTTGCACTGGGTACCAACCAACATCATCAGTTTCTACCAGAATTTAGCATTGGAAATGTATGTATGAATATGACAGTTGTGAATCTCATTACTATAAAATATAGTACTTATTAATATTTTTATTGTTTGTAGTATATTGGCTGCTTTGCGCTGACTGAGATTGCTCATGGAACCAATGCGAAAGGTATGCGAACCAAAGCAACATATGATGTAGCAACAAAAAGTTTTATCCTTCATACTCCCGACTTTGAAGCTGCAAAATGTTGGGCAGGTAATCTAGGTAAGTTAATTTTAGTCAACATAGAATTGATGATTTTAAAGTAATGATTTTAAACAACACACAGTTATATTCAAAATACATAATGAACATTATAAATATAATAGCGTATAAATTGAAAAATAAATGTTCAAAATTTGATACATATGCTAATTATTTAATAAACATTATAAAAACGTTTATAAAATATTTGTATCGTTTATAAAATATTATAAATATTAATATCTATTAATCTATTTTTTAAATTTAAAATACCGTTTTATACAGCATAAATAACTATTCAATAGCATAAAAACATATATTTAATGATAATAACATCCATTTAACATTTTTATACAGCGCTTAAAAAATGTTTAAACATTTTAGCTAAATGTTTGCTTGGAGACATTTAATGCTTTAATATATATGCTTTAATATATATGCCATACTTAACACATTAAATTTTTCTTTCTATATTTTCTAATAATACTTTAACTTTTAGGAAAATGCGCAACGCATGCTCTCATATTTGCGCAACTAATTACACCGGACGGAGTAAATCGTGGCTTGCACGTTTTTATTGTGCCAATTCGCGATCTGCGAACTCATTTACCTTTTTCTGGTGTTATCGTTGGTGATATGGGTGAAAAGATAAGCCTTAATGGAATAGACAATGGATTCGTAATGTTTGACAATTATTCTATACCACGTAATTGTTTGTTAAATCGCACCGCAGATGTCACCGAAGATGGAAAGTATGTTCTTGCTCTAAAGGATGAACGAAAAAGATATGGTGAGAATTGACATTAATGTAACAAAACTATATACTATTATATCTTATAATTGAATTCATTGATGTTTTTTTTTGTGCTGGCACAGGCTCGTCGTTGGGTGCACTGTCAATAGGTCGTGTCATAATTACTGAAATATGTTATCATTATATGGTCGTTGCACTAACTATTGTTATACGTTATTGTGCAGTTAGGAAACAATTTGGTCCTACTGAGGATAATGAATTGCCAGTTATAGAATATCAAACGCAAGTACGTAGCATAGTTTTTGAGCTGAAATAGAAAAAACACATATGTATTGTCCTATATGTATGTTCTAGCAATGGCGAATCATTCCTCATTTAGCTGCAACGTACGCAGTAAAAATATTTTCATCAGCATTAAGAAAAGATGTTAATAAATTTCAAATGAACCATTTGAGTGAGAATCAAAAATCGATCGCCGATTTAGGAATGGAGATACACGCGTTATCTAGTGCAACAAAACCATTATGTTCGTGGATTTCTCGTGATATGATTCAGGATTGCAGAGAATCTTGCGGTGGACATGGATACTTAAAAAGTAAGTGCAGACTCTTAATATATGTATTACATCTAAATCTTTATAATGAATCCTGGTGAAAAAAATTTCGCTGAAATTATTCCACTGTTTTGAAACATTTTAACGAAATTGCTGAAAATTTACTGAAAATAAATTTTTCATCTAATATACTAAAAAATTACTGAAATTGAATTAAAATTCTGAAATTTTATTGAAATTTCTTTGAGATTTTTCTGAAATTTTTGTTGAAATTTTTCTGAAATTTTGCTGAAAATTAATTTTTCAACTAAAAATCATTGAAATTAAACTAAAATTTTTCTGAAATGTTAAAATTTTGCTGGAAAGTGTTCCAAAAATAATTTTAGCGAAATTTTTTCACCAGGGAACTGTTATCTTTGTTTATAATGAATTGTATTATTTTATTATTAGTGTCTCGTTTGGGTGACATAAGAAATGACAATGATGCAAACTGTACGTATGAGGGTGAAAATAATGTACTTATTCAGCAAGCAAGTAATTGGTTATTAAGTCAATGGGCTAATGTGATTAAAGGACAGACCGTGCCGTCTCCACTTAATTCCGTAGATTTTCTTGTGAATGCAGAACAAATACTTAACAATAAATTTAATCAAATTACAATGGAAGGTGCACTGAAACCCGAAAGTATGATAAAAATAATCCTTTCTTATATTAAAATATATTGCTACAAGTTATTAATTGGATGAATGACTTACTGCAATTATAATATTTCTTTCTTAATTTTAGATTTGCTCCTAATTTTTAAATGGCTGGTTTGTTATTACTTGAAAAAGACATATCAACGTATGAAGGAGCTCCAATCCAACGGAATGTCTGATTTTGATGTAAAAAACAATATCCAAACGTTTCTAGCACGAACCTTATCTCTCGTATATGCAGAGGTAAGTAAGACACGTGTGCGTGCGTGCGCGCGCGCGCGCGCGTGTGTATGTGTGTGTATAAAATCATATATTTCAATTGGAACAGAAAAATATGACACACATTATATTTTAAATAATTCGTATATATCGAACTATGGTGTATAAAAATTCTCAATTATTAATAAAAAACACGTGCATCTTTTATCCAATAAATATGTTTTACATCATTTGCATAAAAATTTAATTATATTCTTCATTACAGCATGCCGTAATGCTATACTTTAACAGATGTATACAAGATCCGAAATGGAAAACAAACGAAAGAGAGGTATTAACAAAATTGTGTTCCTTATTTGGAGCTATAACATTGGAGAAAAGATTGGGAGATTTGTACAGTGGTGGTTATGCCTCTCCTAATAGTAATATAGATAATTTTTTGCGGGAAGGAATTATAATGTTGTGCAGAGACTTAGTCGATAATGCTGTTGCATTAGTCGACGTATTGGCACCGCCTGACTTTATTCTTAATTCTGCTCTAGGAATGTCTGATGGCGAGGTATGTTCTCTCTCTCTCTCTCTCTCTCTCTCTCTCTCTCTCTCTCTCTGCTATTACTAAATATTTTATATATTGAATTATTTATATATAATAATTATTCATTTTCAATATATGTAAATTAAAAATACTTTTTTATCTAGGTTTATAAACACATAAAAGAGTGGATATTTAAAGATGAAGAGAACTTTGAACGACCATCGTGGTGGAATAAAATCCGATCTAAAATGTAATACTATGAGTATGAGATATCTTAGAATTATTTCTACTACTTTATATTTTAATATATTATATTTTTATTATTTTTTTAATATATTATATTTTTTAAATTCATATCAAACAAACGCACAAATTCATGCTGTTCATTAAAAGTTGTGCTTGTATTGATATTTAAATATTGTTAATGTTGAAATAATTTGCTATAATAATTAATGCCTCGACTGT